GATTGGTAGACTGGGTGTAGGCAGGAGATGTAGGTGAAGAAGAGAAGTTGACGTAGAGCGAATGTCATAGCAATGTAAGACAATGCCGCGAAGGGTGGGTGAACAATGCGCGAGCGAGAGTGTTAACGGCCGGAAGCCAAGGTGGGTAGAGCAGAGATCCGCAATGTGAACAATCCACTTACATTGCGGATTGTTACATTGTATGACATTGTTACAGTACATTCTGTTCTTCACTACATTCTGTAACAAGTTACAATGTATCGAATGCTGAATTGTGCAGTTTGTGACTTCCCCTTGTCTGTCTGTCTGTCTGTTAGCATAGCAACAACTGCCAAGGCAACAGCAGCCGTGTTTATCTGCGTATGTCCGCAAAATAATAAAGCTATAAAGCTACTAATAAAGATATCAAGTTTTAAAAGCCATTAAATAAGAGTGTGTTTAGTTAAAACCTAATGCTACATGTTTTTCAATGGAGCACAGCGTAAGGAATATGTCGTATACGATATATGTCTATGTCGTCAATCCTGAGCCGGACTGGCAAGCGCATCTGCCAATCGCTGACGACTACAGCCACACGGGGCGGTTTAAACAGCCAATCGAAACAGGGAGGCAGCAGTGGGCGTGGCCCCTGCTGTGGTGTGTGTGTGAGTCGACGCCATTTCGTGTCCACTGGTTTCAAGGTGATACAATCAGCCTGCCGAGCCGTAAGCGGATCTTTACCTACTCAAGTAAAAACAGCGTTGAATTTTACTCATTTTTAGTATTAAGCTCCTGGTGAGTATTTTTAACCGAGAGATTTTTCCCTATTTTTTTTAATTTTTTTCCTGACTTTGAACCGTCTTTTGGACTTTTTGTTTTTATTTTTAATGCTTTTTTCCCCTGGCTGGTGTTCCTGAGACTGTGTTGGCTTTAGTGGCGTACATTTTGTGATGGCAGTGTGAGCTGCGCAGAAACTAGTTTTAAGTAGCTTCCACGACAAGATTTTTTGCTTTTGTTTTTCGAATAAGACATTTGAAAAACCTCGATTTTTCAGGGCTGCTTTGTTACCTTATTTGTTGATCTGGTTGTGGTCGTATTTTCGAGGGGAAGAAGTAATGGAAGATGGTGCCAGTCTTTTCTGGACAGTGTTCAAAACGGGTCGCCCCTTTTTCTGGAAATATGTTTTTAAAAGGTTTTTTTTATGCTCGTCGTGTGCTTTGCCCCCACCTGTAACTTGATTTGCAGTCGTTGACATTGACTCATAAGACGTGTTTTTTTCTGTTCTCTTTGTGATTTTGGCAGTGCGGAGACAGTATGTTTTCAGCAGCAAGTCTTTGAGGAATGATGTAATTTTTTCAGGCAAGATGTTTTTTCTCCCCCCCCCCTCTCATGACAAGTGGGTGCGTTTTTTGTTTTTGTTTTTTTAAGGAACAATAACACAACAGTGTTTTGATGTGTTGTGCAGTCATGGACCTGGGATTTCTGTAGCATCGGTGTGACTTAGGCTCATTTGTGCATTTTTTGGCAATTCAGATTTCTACCATTTAAGTTTATTGGCTGATTTGATAAACCCTTTTTTTTAAATTCAGTAGCAGGTTTTTTTTCTGAGCTGTGGAGCTGACTAGGCCTACAGGGGGGGAG